CAAACATAAAACAACAGCAACAACATCAATAAAACAACAACAAAAAAAACCCAAAACAAAAAAAAGGAGGAAAACACCCGCCACAGCTTTGCACCGCAGGCGTGGAGAAAAACAGAAACATTGCGTTCAACGTTGGTTGTACAGCGCAGAGGCAAACACAAAAACTAAGAAGAAAAGAAAAAAAGGAAAACGGAGGGAGTGAGAGAAACAGCAACAACAAAAAAAAGCCTCCATCTCAAGTCTTCGTGGCCGCCTGCACAGTTGCAGGCCGCAGGCCACACACACACACACACACACACACACACACACACACAGCCAGCAGCGCAGCTTCCCCAAGAAGAGGCGGGCGACAAGGCGGGTTGGCAACAACTGCCTTCAAGACCTTTTGGGTGAGGCGCAGAAGTTTGCAGCGATCTGATAAAACAGCAGCAGCAGCAACCAGAACAATCTGAGGAAAATACAAAAGCAAGAGGGCATACAATTTGATCCGCTTCTGCATTCTTCTCTGGCACCGTTCCCCACATCACACGCATCCGCACCTGACGCTCCCTTGAGTCTCTCTCTCTCTCTCTCTCTCTATCTATCTATCTCTTCTTTCTCTCTGCGTGCGTGCGTGCGTGCGTGCGTCTTGCCCGGGCCGTGCCGATTGGCCGACAGTGAGACTGAGGAGGAAATAACAAAGAGAAAAACACAAGTGTGAGACGAGAATAGGGTGCGCACGCTGCTGACAGTTGGCGTGAGGACGGATTCTCTCGGTTGCACGTTCTTTTTTTTTTGTTTTTACAACTTTGCGAGGCAAGCTCCCCTTTTCTGCGTCTCACCGCAACGATTTGTGAGGGTCTCGCGTTGGGGATGTCTTCAAGCCCCACGGTGGAAGCGGCCGTGGTGGCGCAGTTGACGATGATGCCAGTGCGAGGGACGGAGTCGGTGGGCGCATGGAGTGACGCTGCGCCGCCGTCAAAAGCCCTGTTAAATTGTCACCACACTGTCGTGGGGGAGCGGGGGGAGTTGACGGGCTCAAAAACGCCGGGGAACGGCGAAAAGCCTTTTAGCATGAACGCCAGCACCGGCAGTGACTACCTCGATCCCGGCAAGACCGTGCAGCGCCCGCAGCACGGTCTTGTGGATGGCGTCTTGCCGAACCACCCCGCCACCCCGCAGGATAGCACCCTGTCGCCAGTGTTGTGGCGCCACAACCCCTACGGCGTCTCCCCCTGCTCCCCTATGACGCTCGTACCCAGTACCACTCATCGCCAGAGTCCGTGTCTGAGCACGCATTCCAGAAAGGGTAGCACAACCGCGAACGACGCCACCGATGGCTCAGCCACCAATGACGACATTACGGATGCGCCCTCCATCAAGGTCTGCACGCGTAGCGCCATCAACGTGATGGGAAACGGAAAGCATGGCCGCCAGAAGAGTTATTGTACGACCACTCCAGATGCTTCGGTTCACAACGGTTTACTTTGCGATGGAGAGGCGCGGTACGATGAAGAACTTGTCATGTGCATGTCTCGTTCCACAGCGCCCTCTAGAAGTGATGATCTCTTAGTGGAGCCCCAGCCCCAACTGCAGCATTTGCAGCATCACCATGGGTCGGTTGGTGGTCGTACTCATTGGCGCAACGTACACCTTGGACCGAGGCTCACTCGGGCGAATAGTATGCAACACGCTGGACGGATTTCTGGGTTAGGGCACACATCTGACGCCTATGCGGCGCCCGTTCTTTCCAGGTCTTTGACGAGTGCACAGCCAAATCATCATTACTTCGATGTACACCCGCCGCAGTACATGTCCGAGGTGGATCCTCGCACCTACTCACACCATTCGGGCCAATCCTCTACCACGGTGAGCGGGAGCTTCGCTGGGGTGCAGGATATTCTGGCACTATCCCGCTCACCAAACGGACACAACTTTCCGCTTCTAGAGGATGCTGCCACGTACCGACCCTTCTGCAGTTCTGAGACGGACCCAGAGCTTGCCGTTTCACAGCGATCAACGATGGACCACTTCTCGGCGCACATGTCGTTTACAGGTGATTTTTTCACGCACTCTTCCAATTTACCTCAGCATAGCGCGAGTGGTACGAATGCTACCCCTTTTAAGTTTTGGGGTCTCGGGGAGGTGCGGTCTGCCACTCCCCAGAGCAAAGAGGCGCTGAATGACCACGACATCACTGGTAACTCCAGACTGATTTGCTTTGATGATGATGATGAAATTGAGGCGTACAACGTCACGCTGCGCCCGAATGAGGTGAATGCGTCGCTGAATTTGGCCGAGCTTGACGACGTGAAAGTGGAAGCACCGAGTGAGGATCTACGATCTCTTTCCCGGTCCACCGCAACGGAGTCGGCCATGTCAACAGGTGATGGTCTGGCGGCGACGGAAGGGGCGGACGATAACCCAAGCCTGCAAGCCACCACAACAACGACGCACGAGACCATGGCGGGCCAGCCGCCGCCGCTGCCAGAATCCCAGCAGACGAATGCACGGCAAACAATTGACTGGGCTTTGCTGGAACAGCTTATGCTGGCGGACCCAAGCAAGGAGGTGATGTGTTTCCCAGGCTGCACCTTCTCTGTTTACGACTCTGGCATTCATAACCATTACCTCATTGAAAGCACGGAAATTGTGGTGACGCATGGGTCGTTAGAGTATCTAAAAATGAATGAATCTCACGGGACACAGTCGCGGTTTCGGTTTCAGTTATGCAAGCGCTATCTGAACCGACGCTGCACCCGCGGGACAAATTGCCCATACATCCACACCCACTCGATACCCTCACCAAACTTTGTGCATGTCAATGAAAACGCCATAAGCGCCGCCGCGGTGGAGGGGTTTGAGGTGTTTCCGGAGGAGCTGCGCGGGGGGAAGAACGGCAACCGGTATCCAACAATGCCGCATGGTACCGTTTTTCAGGTTTACCCGCCAAATCAGGGGAAAAATGTGCCGCAGTTTATACCATCAGAGATGATCCTTCGCACCGTGGGTGCGTCGAATGTCTATAGCGTGCTGCTTCACTCTGGGGCCAACAAGGCAAAGGATGCGGCCGCCGCGGACACCGCTGGTTGTGAGAATGTAGGCGTTAACGTCAAGGCACGCCACTGTGCTCATTTTCAGTTTAATAAAATGTGTAATTTGGGGGAAGCGTGCAATTTTATTCATTCACTGGTGCCCTACTTGCAACGGTTATCTGTGTCGCCGCAAAGCCAGTCCTATACTCCGATGATGGCGCCACCACGGTCCTTTGTTGTGCCCTCCGCTGCCATGACACCTTTTACTCCCTTTCCCAATGGAACTAGTAGCGGTGGGATCACGCCGCCATACCCAATGGAGTTTATGCAGCACCCGGTGCTGCATCTACCACAGCTGGCGCCACAGCAACTACGACAACCGCAGCAGCACGTCATGCCCTCAGCACCCATCTCACAGCTTATACCCCCGCCGGGGGTGGCAGAACATATCATGTACCAACGTAACATTTCAATGATGCCGTTGCAGACGTACGTCCCGTCTCCAGTTACATCTGCGTGGGATGGTGAACTTCGCTATGCCGCAAATTACCCCTAATGCACGACGTCAAGAAGGGACGACGCGGTCCATCGCCTTTGTGCGACCCAACAACGTAGCCTTCTGGTCTTCTTTTTCTTCTTCCCATCCACGCACACACACGCATGCGCTTATGCGCTTGACGGTTTGTTAATTCGCGGGGCACCACGACTTCAATTCAACGCATTTTTCATGTACGTGTATGTACCACGTCTCTATGTACATTGACATGTATATCATAACGTGATTCAAGAGGTAAGGATGAAGGATAAGGATGAGAAGACAAAGACAAAAAAAAAAACGGGTGGGGTGGGTGGGGGGGAATAAACAACAACAACAACAACAT